CTTTAAAGTAGAAAAATACTTATTAATTTATACTGAAGAATATATAATTTATTACAATATATTTATTCTTTATTCAAAAAAAACAAAAAAATGTATTTGAGGATAATTTTATCTAGTGAACAAGAACCAAGAACCAAAAATGATATTAGTTTAAATTGTCCTAATAATAAACAAATATTGAATTTCATGGGCTTATTTGGAAATCTCAAATTCACCAAATATCGGTGCGCTACCACCTGGCAGACACTAGTACGGCTAAGTTTTCCTAGCCAGTATTATCAACTGATTTTAGTTAGGCACCAGAAATAATGAATTTTGGTAAGTAAATTCAAAATTGTATATAATGCATAATCACTCCTCTGTATGAAGTTAAATACATCATTTGTAATGTAGGTCGTGTAGCCTCAATCAGATATGGAAATTGTTATAACCAATCATTAAAATCTCTAAATGCTAAAATTTTAATTCAAGGAGACACCTATTGGGATGCCTATATTCAGATAATCTAGAATTTTATGATGAAATTATTACCAAACCAATATTATTATTAAAAGTTTTAGCATACGTAGTTTTACTTTCCTTAAGAAATAGAATATAATTAAGGAGGCTAATTGTATTAATCAGGTGGTTGCTTAAAATATTGCTCTTCAGAATGTTTGGATTGTTAAGAGAATAAAAATACACCATCTTTTTATTGTGCAACGTGCCCATTAAATTATTACTTATAACCTATTCGTATGCAAGCTGAGAGTTCATGCATTAGGCAAGCTGAATTGTGCGACATTTGCCAAATAAGATCTGAAGATGAAATAAAAGTAACAATTGTTATTATTATTTAGAAACTAAATCCCTACTTTCTTCTCACTGATGAGAACAAATAGTATTCTTATAAATGTGTGCGACCAGTATAGAATTAAAATGTTATAATAGATTCTTACTTTTAAATTGCTAAATATTGTTATACTCCATTTTGTAATTTAGAATACATTTTTACATTGTCTGATTATAAGTTAAATTTAGTCAAGTAACTTAATATTCAATATTGTAATTAAATTGGATTGTAGGTCAAGAAATTTTAAATTAATTTGCCCCATTTATAAAGGGAAATACCTCACTTTACTTAAGTATGTGAATTAAAGAAATACATTTTTAGTTTATAAGTTCTAAAAATTGAAATAAATATTTTTTTCAAATGGGGTTCTCCAACAAATTTCTATGGTTTTGATTATATAGAAATCAAAAATGTATATTTTAGTTAAACAGTTACTCAAATACTATTTTAAAATCAAAATTAAAAAGTTAATCTCATCTTAATTGACATCTTGATTTATAAAACTCTTATAATAATATCAATTCTTTATTTAACTCAGAACTATTAGGGGATATGATGTTGGATGAAATTATAATTTATAACTCAAATTTCACTTCATCATCATTATTTAAATTAAATTAAAAATTTTCACAAGGAAAATTGAAAATATCAAAAATGAGATTGTAAAATTGTATTTTTACAAATAGTTAACTATTTTGGTTTATTAATAATAATCAAATTTAAATTTAGATTGATGAATTAGTTATTTATGAAACCGTATTTCTTAATTCCTCATTCATCACTTTTATTACAAATACCAAAGACTAAAGTAGAATTGAATTCAAAGGTATAACAATAACATCAAGTCAGTTAGTGAACTCCTTCATTTTCAATTTTATTAATTTATAAGAAATTACAATAAATCTAAGAATACTATATACATGAACAATTGGAGCAAAATTGTAATGCAAACTGAGCAGCTTTCACAGGTCCATTTCATTATGACACTTGCTAAGCATATAACCCTTAATACTCACTCAAAAGAGGTGGTACCTGATGTGTGATGACAGCTGCTACATGTGCAGGTACATCCGCAGCTTATTGTAAAGGTTCAGATGAAGGAAAATGCTATTTAAGTGTTACTACTTACACATTAGCTAGTGGTACAGCATTAATTGCTTCAGCCAATTGTGGTACAATTAAAGGAGTAGGATTGACTCCTGCTTATTGTAAAGAAATTAGTACTGGTGGTAATACATGTTCAGCAAATTCAGAATTAACTGCTTGTGTTGAGAAATAAGATGCTTGCACTGTTTATGCAACAGCTGATTGCCTTTCAGGTATCACTGAAACGAAATGTATTGTAAATGCTGGTGGTGATGGATATGAAGCTTATGATGGCGCTGCTTCCGATCCTAGACCCACTGTAAACTCTTTAAAACAGGAGCAGTAGCAATTTCATATACTGATGCCATTTGGAAATTATATGACTATCAGGCTAAAGCAGATAAATCTGGTTGTGAAGCCATCACTCCTCCTGTTGTTGCAACTCCAATTTGTGCTAGTTACACTCGTATATTTACTTATAAGGCTTGCATAGGCTTCTTAAGTACTTGCACAGTAAATGCAGCTAAGACACTTGTATCACCATAAAAGATACTTGCACAGGTTATACTACTACGGAGTGTGAATATGCAAGAAACGAACGAGAATGTCTAGTTTTTGGAACATCATTTTTTAATAGAGTAGTGATTTAGCAGCCTCTACTGTTACTACTTTAGATGGATTGCTAAGCAGTTTCAACAAATTGTGTTCTAAGAGTAGGAGGATGTTAATTTAGAGTTAGTTGTGCTTTATATAAAGTTTAGGGTGGCTGCGTTAAGAATGCTTGTGTAATCCTACAGCAGCTAAATTTGTTGATAAAAGTTGTAGTGTAGCCGAAGCATTAACTAGTTTTGATAGTCATATTAAATGTTTAACCGTTGGAAAATATACAATCAAAGCAACTGCAGACAAGGCAATTGGTCAAGGTTTGTATTCCATTTGCTGCTTATAGTTTATATACAATTAAAGAATAATGCAAGAAAAATACTAAAGAGGAGAACATTATTTGGAATACAAATGCTGATCCAGCTACTTGTGCTGACATATAATGTGCCACTGCTCCAATTGCATCCTATAGTGATCATGATGGATGTAGAGGATATCTTGCTGGATGTACAGTAAATGTTGTTGATGTCAATGGAACACCAACACTTTAAGGATGTGTTGCATATAATACATGTAATTCATACACTCATGAAGGATAATGTAAGTGTAGTAGTGATAAGGATGGCAAAGTTGCAAATATTGTATGTGGATGGAATGGAACTAAGAATGAATGCTAATGGGACACTGAAGCTAATAATTGTAGATTAAAAGAATGCAAAGATTTTACTGGAAAAACCCATGCTGCTTACAGGTTGCACAGCAGGATTAAATGAAAAATGCGCTAAATGAGTAATTGTTAAGATATTAAGGTTAGAGCTACTTGCATTGAAGGTAAAGTTGGTCCTTGCTTGTGGATTACTAAATATGTGAATGCTGATTCTACCCTTGGAGCTTGCTTCTCTTATGAATCATCTCAGAGCTTAGATTGGAACAGTGATCGCAACTGCAAATTGATTTCTTCAAATTGTACAACTGATGGTACTGAATGTGTAGGAATTACAAGTTGTGCAGCCACAATCATTAAGGGATGTTGCAAGACAGGAACAAATGGATAATGTATCTAAACAGTATCCGCTAAAGGAGCTATAGAAACTATTTGCAAGAAGTTTACCTCATGTGCTGATGCTTTCTACCTAACCCATGATGAATGTATTTCAGCTTTTGCATCAGATTACGTAACCAGATGTATTCTTGCTCAACATATACCCAAAACTAATGTTCCAGAAACAAGGATGGACCATAAAAAGATGCTAATGGAGGTATTACATCAACTGATATTTGCGTTTGGGATGATACTGCCAAATAATGCAAGTCAATAATGTTCAGACCAACGTATACTACAGAATCAGAATGCTCCTCCAGATTGAAGACATGCACATCAGATGGAGTTAAGTGTCTTGTTAAAGGAGCTTGTAATAGTTACACAACTTAAGAGCTTATAATGATACTGAAGGATCTTGCTTCTGGGTTGCAACTGATGCTTCTGGAAGTTGCAGAACCAAGATCTGCTCTGATATTCCAAATTGTACAACAACCTAAGCTTGTTAAGGAGTTGCTAATTGTGTTTCAAATAGAACCGCTTATATTGCTAAAGCTAACTGTTCAACATACACTACCAAAACTGCTTGCAATTCCAAAGGAACCGATGGTATTTGTGTTTGGACTGAAACTACCACTGGAGGAACCACAAAAGGAAAATGCTCTTTCATGACTAGTTGCACTTCAGCAGCAGGTAATACTAATGCTTGCACATAAGCTAATGATAGATTTTAAATGAACTCAAAAAACAAACATTGTGCTGATCACACTTGTCTTACATATACTACTTAAGTCCTAAGTTGCAAATACTTCTACACTTGGGATTAAAAGAAATCCAACGCTTGTTCAACAGTCAACGGTGCCTGCACTACTACTAATGCTGATACATTAAAAGAAGGGGATTGCTATACTTTGAAAGCATATCTTTACTGATGGAATCCAGCAAGCTCTAAATGTACTCAATATGGAACAGTTGTCGTACAACCAAACAATGCTGACAATAATAGTTCAAGCACTGGTAACGAAACCAATACAGATTCCGGTTATATTCTTGGATTTACCTCAGTTGAAGTCGGACTAATCATGTCCTCTTGATTTTGATTATTGAATTTATATAGGGAAAATTTATTAAACAATTTAACTTCATTTGTTTTTAATTATTACCAGAAAATATGCCATTCTCTTATGAGAAAAGGTCTAACAAAATAGCCAATTATTCATTATTCAGATATATTTGATTCCATATAAGATCAGATTATAGGTATTAATAATTTTCCTCTTAGGATCCTTTTATATATTATTCAACTAAACAACATATTAACAATCATGTATTAATGTTCTAGTAAAGGAGGAGGGGCAAATTGATTATCTTACTAAAAATATTCAGAAAAATTGCTATTCTTTTGCATTAATTATAACAACTCAATCTAATTGCAAAACTCTACTTTCCAGAACTATGTGTAAATTTTACATTTAGGCAATAAAATTGATAATACCAATTTAGGTGCTTTCTAGTCAATAACTCTCGATGATTAATGAATTTCGATATTTATTATTTGTATTATTGCCAATAAAGAAATAAAAAATGGAAATTCTTAAGTCTATTGAAGACTAGTTGTCTTTAAAGTGAAGAGATTAACAAAATTATGAGCTTATTTCTACTGATTAATCAAATATGAGAAACTTTTAATAAATGAGAATTAACAGTTTTATTGCAACTCACAGCCTATATTGTAAGAAAGTTCAAATACATAATAGTATTATATAGCAAATGGGAAGTTATATTTTACTGAATTTGAAAACGATATGAACCCAAAATTAAAAATTCAAGATCGCCCCATTTATGGTTTGCTTAAGGAAAAAGGATTCGTATTAGATGGCAATGGAAAAGAGTATTCTGGCAAATCTACTCTTATTAAATTTTAAGTATAATTTGAATATGGCATTTTTAAGGATGATGCAAGAAACAAAAGATCAAAAACCACCCCTAACAAAGATTATAATAATCGATGTTTAAACTGGTTTATAAGTAAATAATAATGATTAATTAAAAAATATCAAAACTTATTCCTCTAATGTGAAAAAGTTGATGCAAATTTAACTAATAAATTTCTTTAAAGGATATTTAGACCTTAGAAAATAATAGACGATTAACAAGCAGCATCATTGATGCTTATATTCTGTATCTTAATTTAGAAAGTGAAAAGTTTATTTTTCAAAGAAAAAAATAGATCGATAAAATATCAACAGGATCCTAATTTTTACCAACTACTCTGACTACTAATTTTGTAAGAAATTGTACTGCTTAACATGCAAAGAACATCTTTGAAGTTGAATTGCTATAATTTTACGATCTGAATTATGACTTAAAAAAAATATATTCATAAATAGGTATGACTGTAAATAAGAATAAATATTATTGTTATTTTCTACTTTTTGATTTAAAACAAAATGGTTGTCCAGTTTTTGACTCTTTATAAAAGCCTACTGATCAGATGAATAGATTAACACTTTATTCTTGCTTTTGAAAAGTTATTCAAAATAAAGCAACTTAAAAAGTAGGACTCTAATTTTTCTGGTTAGTAAATGACGTTATTCATGCGGATATCATATTTGCTAATTCATGAATTATTGCAAAATGATATAATTTGAAACAAAAATAAATTATGATTTCAATTTAAATGAAATTAAACAAAATTATTAACAATTATTAAAAAATGATATTTCAATTTCTCTTCTCCCATTATTGATCCCTTTACTATTTTATGAATATTCTTCTAAAAAGCAATTGAAATTATTAATATCTTCAAAATAAAATCCCAAATTCTGAATAGTTATTTAAAATTTCTTCTTATAGAATTATATATGATTGTAACTAATTTAATTAAATTTAACTTGTTTGCTTTTGTATAAAAAATACAAATTATGATCCAAAGTCTTAAAAATCTTTTGACTCAAAAAAATTCCGAAACATAGGTTACAATTTAGAGCAAATTTATCTATCTAAAGATAAATAAACAAACTTAAAAAAGCATCTATTAAAAAATATTATATTTCAAATAAAATAACATGATGAGAAAAAAAAATATCAATATATGATAATTGGAACAATAATCAATTTTTTTAAAATTATTTGCATTAATTGTATTATAGTATTTATTTTGTTAATAAATTCAATTATCTCTACGTTGTTTTTGCCAAACAAAAATATTTAAATAATATTCATTCTACTAATTTCCTAATAAGCTTTACGCTTGCCTGTATTTTTGGATTGCCTTTGCATACATATGATAATTTTCTAGTGAGAATCCTAAGATGATTTTAATATTTACCCTTCCAATTATAAGCAGCTAATTCATTTGGGTTAATTAAAATAGCTTGATCAAACTACATTAGCACTTCTTAGTGTTACTCTAGTTGCATAAAAACATTAAAAATCAAAGTTTTTTTTTTAAAGAAATCCCTAACAAATACAATATTTACTATTCTTATTAATAATTATCTTTGTGTTTTATGCCTTAAATTTAAGCGCAAGGTCTTAGGCATTCAGAGCCTCTTAATTTTCTTTTAGTCATATAATGAAAATCCTATGTTATTATTAAACAGTAATCAATACCTTTTCTATATTAAGCTTCCGCATTTTCTTCTTTCATTTTGATAGCATAATTATATTAATTGATAGCTTCATCATATCGTTTTTGCATATGTAGGGAGATTCCTATTTATTTAGATATGCTTTTTACCTTTACTGATATATAAATCAGGATACCTTGGGTTAGTTTCAGTGCCTGATCATAACAATTTACAGCACTATTTTATTATTCTAATATTGTACTCCAATACACAATTTAATGATTCTAATGAAACACCTAAATAAATAATTTAAATACGTTTGTTATAAAATATCTCATAATCTTAAGGATCTATTTTAATTGCCTAATGAAAACATACTCTAACTCATTGTATTAGTCTAATTGATTTTAAAATTAATTTTTTAATCTCATCGATAAAGCCATTCCTTTGCATTTCTAGAAAAAT